AAAGCATAGATTAAAAACTCCTTGAACAAAAAATTTCAAAACTAATGACTTTTCACTCATAGTTAAATTCGGTTTTAAATTTACTGAAAGAAATTTAAACTTAATAGGCAATTGGAATTCAGTTCACAGGAAGTAATTATTTTAATTCACACTGTTCTGTATAATTTATATTCAAATCATATACCCTGAATGCAAATTATGTTCTGATTAGCCATTNTTTAGAGGACATATTAAGATACATTATTTTAAAAAAAGAGAACAAACTTTAAATCTAACAAATATTTATAGTCCAAACATTGAAATGTATTTAGCATATTTTAAAAGATCATAGCCCCGCAGTCCCGCATAAAGATACGGTTCCCAGCAGAACACCGAAGTCAAGCATCACTGGCTGCTGTCAGTAAGTAGGTGGGTGATCACTTTGATCATCCCACGTAGGGACCGAGGGTGAGCGGTATCGGTCTTCGTTACACTGTTTTACCGTAAAGTGCTCAACTTCGTGAGCAGGTCATCGGGGTACTAAAGCGGAGGAGTCATCCCCTCTGCAGAGGATCAAAATTGTGATGGCATGCCTTCGGATCATCCTCGGGAATGTTTCCCAGACAGTCGTCAATAGCCCATAATGCAGCTCTAGTGCGACGTAAATAAAATACCTATCTACCTAAAATATCATAATCAAAGCTTTTAAAATTCATGCATTTCTAACCGCGTGAAGTTTGTAACCTTCTTCCACTAAAAGAAGGTCGAAAATTTAAGATTCCATAGTTGAGTAAAATTCGGAACCACTGCATTACAGTATTCATCAAGCCAAACAAATGCATCGAAAAACTGTTAGTTGTTTAATTATTTATTATGTTATTTTATATTCAATATGAATTAACAAAATTTTAATCGAGCTATTGGAATTCGCATAAAATTATAAATTGTCACTGAATTAAGTAATACTATTATTTTATACTTAAACATGGTAATTTGAAAATAAAGGTAATGAGTTTGGTAGCTTTTAATATACACTGAAAAAATCAAATAATTTTCAGATAGTAATTAATAACTTTAATAATAGTAATTAATAAACAAAAATTATCAACTGTATAACTGTTTATTAATCGTAGCATTTCTCTTGCAAAGCATAGATTAAAAACTTCTTGAACAAAAAATTTCGAAACTAATGACGTTTCAATCTTAGTTGAATTCGGTTTTAAATTTACTGAAAGAAATTTAAACTTAATAGGCAATTGGAATTCAGTTCACAGGAAGTAATTATTTTAATTCACACTGTTCTGTATAATTTATATTCAAATCATATACCCTGAATGCAAATTATGTTCTGATTAGCCATTTTCTTCTTAATTACTTTAAAGGTTTCATGAATATTTAAGTAAGTGGCTACAAATTACTATTATTCGTTTGTTATGACATATTCTTTAGAGGAATCATAATTTTTATCGTTAAGAAACAATAGTCTGCATTAGTAGTAATATTGGCAATATAAATCAAACAGGCAGCACTGAAATTGAATAAAAATAATTCAAATATCAAATGATTTTACCGTTTATTGTATCGATAAAGTTAACTTAGAAAACCACCGTGTCATAATAATCATATTTTAATTATGATTAATTCCGATAAAACTATAAATGATAACTTAATGAAGTAAAGCTATTATATGAAACATAAACATGATAATTTGAAAATAAAGTTAGTGAGTTTGGTAGCATTTTTCATATTTATTCATATCCTTAATTACTAATATTTGCGACCGCACCGTGTAGGGTTCAGGCCTTGCATCAGAAAGGTTCTGGGTTTGCTTCCCGGGCAAGGCATGGATGTTCTTTCCTTCTTCATACTATCTGTACTTACTGTGGAAGCAACGTTGGCACACCTAATATGATGCCCCTGAAAGAGTGACCAATAAATATGCCCTGTAAGTGCCTGAATTGACAAAATGTTAGGTGGGTGGAAAAAGGTGGGCATTGGAAATAAAGAAAGAAATTATTCATATTTTTGTTCACAAAAATAACTACTTTAATATAACTACTTAACGTTAGTAATTTTTCAAAAACTCAAAAGTTGAAGTCAGTTTACTATATCGGCACCAACAATGTCAAGCTTATAAGTTTTTTCAAGGCACTTATTCATATATATTCATGATAAAGAATAATAAAAAACGAACAAATTAAGAAAAAGTATGGTTCGCAACTATTGTTGAACTTTAGAAATAAAATTTTTCTTTTATTTGCTTATAAATTTACTTATTCAATTAATAATTACCTCGTTCATCCATTGAAACTCTTATTCTAATCATTAACTCATTTTTTTTACTCATTACTTTAATCTATTCTTATTTACAGATTTACTCATTCCTTCAATGATTACCCATTTAACTAATATATTAATTTGTTTATTCATTGATTATCTTATTTATTTATTCTCTCATTCTTGTCTTAAGATGTACAAAATAGAAAGCAGAAAGTCTTCACTGTAATACAATATTTTTACTGACTCTATAATCACTCATATATGCACCACTAAATATATAATCACCCTAGACAATGTGAGAGGGAATTTATCGGTTTCTTAATATTCAAAACTGATAATGTGTTAAAAATAAAAATAAAGACATTTATAAATTAATCTAAAGATAAAAGGGCATAATTTTTTTTTTACATACTTGTAAATTAATAGTATATAAAAAAATATTTTTGAGTTCTAAAGTTATACGGGAGGAATAAATATGACATTTACATCTTTATTTTTAGGAATTTAATTCACTCATTTTCTTTTCGATTATCCCGTAAACAGTTAACTGATTAAATAAAAAATGACTAAAAAATGGTTTACTTAGATATTACTAAACATTCTACATTTCATTTTCCTCAACAGTATAATCTAACGAAATTGCATAAAAAAATTCCCAAGATAACATTAAAGGTTATGGACAGGGCGTTGTCAAAACCTAATTGATTTGTCTAGGTTAAGTGATTTAAGACTTATGTTTCAGAAAAAATAGTATTGCACATTTTTGAAAGTGAACACTTAGCACTTACTTTGACAGATTTTAAAGTTATATATTTTCCATTTTTTTATTTTTGACCTAGCTTATTTTGATAGATTATATAAGAAACGGCTCATTTTGTAATACACACACATTTAGCTGTCACGCCTTTTTGAAATTGGTGATATGTCTACATTTTTTTATTCATTTTTTAAAAAAAAATAATAATTGAAGAAAGTTGTGAGAAATAATTATAAATTATTGTGAGTGAGAGATTGAAGCACGTAAAAAAACATTTGCACAGATTGTAATTCTCAAGAGTTAATCGAAAAAACATTTAAATGAACTCTTCCATTTTTCGTAAAATTTTAATTCTTTGAGTTGGCTGGATTACATCAACTCTTTTGGGAAAATAAAATAATAAAATTTTAAATTTGAAAGTTGAGTTCATATCTAAAATGTTAAATTTAGTATGCGCACTGTTTTCTTTAAATCATTGGGAGACACTCCAGCAAATCTTAAAGTTTTTAAATTATTAGGGTTATGCTTCCACTCTGGAAAAAATTCCCTATTTCTACAGACCGTTTTTTACACAAAACGGTTTTTCTCTCTTTTTCATCCTAATCATAAACGGGTAAAAACCATCAGTTCAAATTCTAGCTTTTTCTAGGCAGTTTTGCATACCTAACTTAAGATAACTTTACCTTTTTCGTATCATTTGACGATTATTTTCCACGCTTGCTCTCCCTTTTCAGTAATTATTTCAGTAATTATTTAATTATTTTATTTCAGTAATAATTTAGTTTTTATTTGAAAGTGGTTATTTTATTCAGTAATTATTTGAACATCGTATTAAGAAAATTGCGATTCGAATTTATTGTCAAAATGATACTCCACCTTATTATTATCTGTCTTTAGATATAATGTTTTGGTAAGTTAAGTTGACAGACATTTTTGAGAAACAATAGTTTTAAACATGCTTACAATTAAATATGATTTCAATAAGTAAGATTTTTAAAATAAAAACAGTTTTAAGACTTCACTTCATTACGGAACACTAGAGTTGCCGCTATGGCTTGGCTTAGGGGACAGATTCAGGCCTCCCTATAAAGGTCACCCAGATTAAAATCCCAACATTGATTGGTTATATGAATTCGGCTCTCGGCTTGCATCAACCACACTTCTGTGAGAGTTATTTTATTATTAAATTTAAAGATTTTTGTTTATTAAATTAACAGAATTTATTTGTTTAAATAACTTCACTTTTCTGTTAAAAAAACAGGTGTCTGCTTCTAAAAAACAGTGTTTTTTCTGTGAAATAAACAGCTTTACTATCGCACCAGCTGAAAGTTTGTCTCCATAAATTTAAAAAAATTGTTTTTAACAAGGTAATACTGCTTAGACTAATGACAAAATGTCAAAAAATGAAACAATTCATATTTTGAGATTTTGTTTATATTAATCAGTCATCAAAATTTAACTTTATTATATGGAAACTCTTAAGCTTTATTTAAGACTTTTGCTTTGCTATCTGAATAGTTTTGTGCCCTTATAATTGCAAGGAATTTTAATTTTTGTAAAAAACTAAATCTTAATGATATAATTTAGAAACGTTGTGATAGATCAAAATATTTCAAAGATTTCGCTAAAACTTAATTTGAAATAATTATTTATTTCAAATGTTATATAGTATAAAATATAAATCATTTAAATTTAACAATTAATTTCATAAAATTCTATCTGCATTTACATCACTATAAAAATGTTTAAAACCCATTTTCATATGCAAAGTAAATTTTTTTTGAAAAGTGCCAAAGAAATTTAAAAGTAAACTGAAAACTGAACAAAATGTCGTTTGAAGGTATGCTTTATAAAATTTTGTAAATAAAAGACAACACTTTATAAAGCAGTTTATTAATAGCTTTATTCATTAAGTTTATTTTATAAATTATATTTCTTTGAATTATGAGCTATTCATTTCATTTTTCTTATTGTTTATTTATAGGTTTTTTCTCTTCTGTGTTGTTTAGTAAATGCAAAGAAGCATTACCGCTCGGATCCCCTCACTCAGACGTTGCATTATGACGACGATGAACCGTCTTCCTCAAAAAATAACTCTCCGTACCCTCAAATAACAGATTCTAATCCAAGCTCTTACCGACATCCCGTCGAATTGCCTAAAAGTCACCAATACACAATACCTACCGCTCCTGTTTATAGACACACTCATTACCAACAGCAACCAAATCCTTATGGTTACTACACTTCTCCTCGAGCAGCATCTTATGATTCCTATCCAAAGATAGAAGCACCAGAAGTTGAGTCAAAGTACCCAATACCACAGCCTGTTCCACGGGAATACCACAGTGAGGAAGTTAAAGATCAGGATTACAAGAAACCAGAGAAGAAATTTAACGAAATAAGTTCAGAAGAACCAGAAGAGCTTGAGTATAGTCATGGCTCAGAGGAACACGGTCAAAGCCAGGAGCATTCTGCACCACTTCCAGCACAAAAACACAGTCATGATGATGATAAGCATATTCAATATCCAGCGCATAAATACGGTCATGATGATGATAAGCATACTCAATATCCAATGCATAAATACGATCATGATGATGATAAGCATGCTCAGTACTCAGCTCCAGCAGCATCTCCATATCCCCCTCCAAAGCGTGATCCAAAACTTCCTTTGTATTTTACCATGTATGAAAAACGTATCATACAAGATCCAATGGATAAATATGGTAAAGGCCCATGGAGGTACTTGACTTATGGGCATGGTATTACGTATGGTAGTAAGGAACCTGGTAAAGTTTTTGAAAGAGGTTATGGATACATCAGAGCTTTAGGTAGAGATCATTGCAAACTTCCTGATAATTTATGCCCAAAAAGAGATGAAAAACCTTTTGAATATGACGGAAGAAAAGAGCCATATTTTGGATACAGACCGCATTAAACCCTGATGATGAAAAAAATAATAATTCTTGATGCCAAATTCAATTCCTATAGAAATGTGATGTTGTGAAAATATTTGTGTTACTTTTTTCTTCTTTTTATTAACTTTTATATAATGAATAAGTAGTTTCTTAGAAACTCTCACGTATTTATCACTAGTGCAGAAGATGACACCACATGTACTATCTGGGTAGCACAAAAAAAATGTGACTGTTGGCTTGAAAATTTTTAATACTTTTACAAGCCTTTCTTATGTCAATTGTATCGTTTTTAATCAAACTTTAAATGAACTACTTACTTTCAATGCCTTCAGTAAACTCAATTTATACTTACTATACAACAGTAACATATTTAAAAAAACATTTATCATTTTGCTCTTTTAATTCAGTGCTTATGCACGACGTTGAAAACGTATACTCTGAAATCTTGACTAGAAAATGTAATTTGGTTATTTTGAATCATTTTTATGGCTAATTAAAACTTAAACTTTCGTATCAGTTAGGAAATTAAAATATTGCTTATTTACATTCTCCGGCATACCTTTGATGAGCTTTGCTTAGTATTTTTGTTAATTTGATGAAAATAGCGTGTATCTTCTGTATGTTTGCCATGTGTCACGTGAGGTGTAAATGTTTCCTCTGTATGTTTCTGTATAGCAGCGATGATATACAACTCTATACTCAATTTTTTTCGACTGTTTCATTATTATTGTTATTTCTATTTTTGTTTACCTTTCTAAAAGCATTGTTCAATTAGTGTTGTTGTGTCTTTTATTCCCATTTCATTTTACGCAAATTTTAACATTCTCAATGATTTTTAAAAATTTTACTTTTAAATAAATTACGAACATGTTTTATTAGTTTATTGTAACAAAAAAAAAGCTAGAAGGAAAGGTCACTTTTTAGTTGATTTTTAAAATTTAATACTCAGTCATTAAACTCTAATCATCTATTTAAAATTAGCTAACCTCGTTTTGCATTTAACGTGTAGTTTCCATTGATAACAATTTAATGCTAATTTTGCATGCCAGCAATCAAAACAAAAACTTCAGTTACTTGAGCTTTTTCAACTTAGAGTAATTAGATTCAATTCATTTTTTAACTTACTAACTATTATTATTTGAAAGTCTATAGGCATTTTATTTCGAACTGAATCTTTGAGTCGCTATCTAATTTAAGTTCGGATCTTTAAAAAAAGAGTATTGTAAATCTACGTGCAAGAGAATGTTAAACCATACTGTAATGTGATGACAAATGGAAGTTCCTGAATTTCGACTTATTTTTGTCAGATAAATGTCAATATTGGGCATAAGTTGGTAAGTTAGGAAGTTCCGTCTCACGTTTCTGTAGTGGCAACGAACGGTTTCATTTTAAGTCTAAAGAGTTGAAGCTGGTATAAAATACAATTGTTTCATGAATATATGCGGCAATAATATCCACGTCTGACATTAGGATATTTTTCACAAAACCACAAATGTACTCAATACTCGTATACATTACTCTTTAATTTTAGTTTGCAAAAGAGGTAAAGCTATACTATTTTTTGAGAGGCAGCATCTACGCATGTCATTATTTGTTTTTCTCTGCTCTAACTTACCGAATATTGAAATCACTTATTAATTATTTAAAGAGCTGATCGGAACAGTTGCATTTTGGTAAAAATGTTTAGCCTAGTGTTAAATAATATTTTAGCGTAAATTATAACTTTTATGTTGAATGATATTTCTGTACGGTAAGGACTCTGCATTAGAATAAATGTAAAAGCAACAGAAAACCATCCATATAAAATTTCGTTAAATACTTAATGGAATAAATATATACAATTTTCCAAATATCAATGTATTTACTCCATTAAGAATTTCAACTAGACGTTTCTTATTAAATAAAATAATAATTTAGAGCAGCTTCTTAATATTTCTGTACCTTTGAAAGTCGCAAAAATTAGGCTTAATGTCTTTTTAGTCTATAGTTTTAATTATATGTATGAACTACTTGAAAAAAATGATTCATCATCAGGTCCCAATTAACAGAAGCTGTATCACTGGGCAAATATTAGTTGAGGTGCCTCTAGATTTTCATTAAATAATAATTTGCATTCCGTTTATTCGTTAAAACTTTTACAAGTCTACTCCAATGTGTTTTGTACTCTCAATTTCTGTATTCGTTTCGATGCTGCACCAATCAGACTATAAATTTTTCTTCAGAAAAGCCCTCAACAATTGATAACCTAATTTTTGCATTAGAACGGGCCATAATGAGAATTTGATTTTTTATGAAATAGAAATACGTTGTTGCTACTATTTTCACTGTAACAAAATTATGCATTGTTTAGATTTTTTCGTTTTAGGTAAAAATGATATTATTGTAAAAGTTTAATGAACCAGCCTAAAATAAAGAGTGAAACTAATATCTTTCAGATAGTAATATGCAGGGGGGTTCTTAAAACTCAGGGGTCCTGGATAAGAGTCTCTTCTGCTCATGCGATAAGCAGTCCCTGTTCATCATCATGATTCAATGATGATGATTAATGAAAATTATCATTTTGTATTATAAAGAAATTTTCAATAGATTAAAAAAAAAATTTTAGAACAAATATTAAAACTTTAAACTAAACCGCCCCGCACTTCGAACTATTAAAATAATTTTAAACAATATATCACTAAATTATAATTAACTCAGTACAATGTCAGAACACTTTATATGCTCAGTTTTATTATTTTACTTTGTACAGCAATCGAAAATGCAAAACAATTCTTTACTTGTCTGATACAGCTAACTCTTACAAGAATCACGGAAAGTATTTGGAAAAAATACTTTGAAAAGAGATCAAAGTATTAGTAACAGCTTGCAGTATAATTTTTTAAAAATATTTTTTAAGTTTAAAAATAAATAAAAATAATGATTATTGGAGGAATTTACTGCTCCATAAAATTAAATAGTTTTTCATTTTTTTATGTCACATGCATTTAAGTTTCTTATATTTGATCAGTCACAGCAGCATTTAATAGTTTAAATTTTTCAGAAATATAACTAAGTACTATTTGTTAATAAGTTAAAAAAAAGTTTTCTTAAGGAATATTTTTGTCAATTTTTTATTTCTTAATTTTATGACTTGTTTACATTAAAAATTTTTTGTAACTTGAACATGAAGAAAAACAAGAAATTATTCTTAAAAAATAAAGGCAAAAAGGGTATTATTTTTTTTTCAGAAATATTTTACATGTTAGTTTTAAATTGGAATATTTGTTACAAACATTGCGTTTTCTAAATATGAAGCACTTTAGTTGGGGTCCTATATATTTGGTTATCTTTATTCAAACTTTATCTTACTAATTTCATATGAAGGAAATATGTAGCACTTATTTTTAATAAATCAATTAACTAATAAACCAGAAATTATGAAAGAGAATTTAGTATGAATCATTCTCCATAGATGGCGCAATCAATAAGACTATACAAAGAAATTTTGTTTTCTGAGAACTTCCTCGAGAATAAAAGAAAAATAAAGATCTTTTTGACAAGTTCATCAGACAAAATTGAGACACTCTTTCGCCCGAGGCACTTTAAGAACAGTAAAAGGAAAATGATTTGAATTTGAGGGGAAAAAAGTACAGAGTAGTTGTTTCGAAGCAGGAAAGTCTCGTTTATTTTCTTCTGCGTTATCTTGGAAAACGCAACAGAATATTATCTCACTCTTGCAACGAAAGTGGTAAGTTTTCGCAAATGTTTTTCATGAATTATTGTAAATAGTCATGTTTATGAAATTATGCTGATAATAAAGTATTGTAAATAAAACGATGAAAAAATTTTTATTTCTGCTTTAAATTAAGAATCATGTTTGAATCAGAAATTTAATAGAAGAATGATATTTCAGCAGGAGTTAAACAGTTGTTCTAAAGGTCAGTATTGGGCGGGGTATTAGTGCTGTTATTAACTTGAGAAATATATTGTTTTGAAGGATATCAGAATATTTTTTCGTGCCTAAAGAGTTTTTAGAAAAACTTGTTATACTTAGTTTAAGTATGAATTATAAATTGTCTTAAATAACTTTTTATTCTTTTGAAAAGGGTAAACGACAATATATATAATTTTCTGTACTTAAGTATAATAAGGTCACATTTTTTCGCAAAGGCTGATAAAATATACTACATTTAATTTCAGAATTACTTTATTTAGAACATAAATTTTTAACAGTTTGCAGTATAATTTTATGAATGGAGCACTAACCAATTCATAATTATTGGAGCTCAATATGACGAAACATTTCATAATACTTCTGCATAACAAAAATAACCAATATCAATCAGTTAATGTTCCCTAATTTTAATATTATATAAAATTTGTAATGATGTTCTTGATTTTTTAAACAAAAAAATTTTAAAATATGGTTTCAATAATCTCATAGAGAAAAAACAGTGGATCCCTTTCATGATAATTTTGTAATTTAGTAGATGATCCCCCGATTTGATGGCCCTCGATTTATCCCTTTAATATTCTGTGATATGTACTGTTGTATTATTGCATTGTTAATTTAAATCGATCCCTTTTAAAACGAGATGAAATAAAGAAATTAATAATTGTGTAAGTACGAACTCCACCTAACAAGATTTGCCACTGAAATTGCTGAAAGTGATTAAAAAGGTAATGCCCGCTAAATTCATCACCATAAAAATTTTCTTAAGTAAAATTGTCAGTTTTTGTTTCATTAAGTTTGAACTATCGAGCTTTGCGATTTTCACTAGCTTTGTAAATTAAAAAAGATGTTGGTTCAAAATTCCTTATCTTTCCATTCTACAAATCAATTATTTTGAAATCCGTACATGCTGTTATAGAAAATAGAATGTTCTACATATACATAAAAACCCAGACAAATAACGATAAAAAAAATTTTATCAGGAAAATAAAAATATCTCAAGTCAACTACCAATTTATTAATGCTACTACTAAGACAATTCCTGTATTTTTGACACATGGGAAAAAAATTAGTCAAAATTTACATAATATTTATCATACATAGCATTAATTAAAGTAATACTTTTACTAATTCACGTTTGATTACAGAAAATTTACTTCTTATTTGAGAAGCAGTTTTATTATGCCAAGAGCAAGTTTTAAAAAAATTCTGCTCATCTTTCTTGGTTCAAGTTTATTTTAAACTCAAAGAGTAATATGTTTTTTTTTTCTGGTTGAAAAGACAACGGGTAGACCTAAAATATTTTTTTATCTATATTTATTTTATGTTCTACAAGTAAAATAGCTATTAACTAAAATTTGAAAACCCATGAAATATTATAGTTTTACGAAAAAGGATTCAAGATATTCAGTGATAAAAGTTTTCCTCACTTAAACAACATTTTCATTTCACAGCTGTATTCAGTTTAATAATTCTGAGCTATTATTTAACTGCAAACTATGAGGATCTTTCAGTATTGGTACCTGTTAGAGCCAATTATCACCCCAAACCATTTCTTAAAATTAAATGTGAAACAAATTGAAATAAAAGCTTTTTGGAGGTTTTCTTGGAAGTAGCTATCCTTCAAGTTAATCCCTTTAAGTGATTTTTTTCGTCATTAAAATTTGGCGATTATTTTGGTGTAAATATTGATACGAAAATTTTTCCAAAATTATTTATTAATATTTATAATTTCGTGAGCTAAAGGTAATGATAGTGTAATGCTACATTTTTTTCTAAAATTAAATTTTTATATAAAACTATCCCTAATCTTTCAGTATTGGTACCTGTTAGAGCCAATTAT